ACCACGGCGAGCCGGCGGCGGAGGTTTCTGCCTGCTGCTCCTGCTGCATCGCGCTCCAGGCTGCTGCTTGAGGGTGCAGCAAAATCTCGCTGCTTCCCGCTAGCTGTGTCTTAAATCTGTGGGGTATCTTGCCTTGAATAAAATCAAGTGGGCAAGGCGCTCAAGCGCTGGAGAGAGACTTCCTCATGAACTGTCTTTTAAGCGGCTGTGATAATGCAGTGACTCTGCTGTGTTGCGCTCTAAAGCCTGCTTCGGCCTATGGGACTGACTCGTGCAGTTCCTTAGGCCAAAACTTTAATGTCAAGAGTTATGCATCTCACGAACTGTTTGTATTCAGGTGGCTGAACTTGTGTATCTTATGAGAGATGGGCCTGTTTAAGCACTGGAGGGAGATAGTTTGTTTGAGAATGGGATGGTTAATAGGCTTTTAGTTGAAGGATCTATTTATTTCCATATTATGCAATAGACAATAGCTAGTATTATTATTATCTACACATATTGTCCTAACTCCCAGTCAGTAAGCCATGGGAGTTTGACTTAGATCCTAGTGATAATTTCTGTTGTTACTTGGTTACACAAACAAAGTGGAAATTAAATTGAGAAAATCACTAAATAGAAAATGTTGTCAAATGTGCACGATGTTATTCTGAGTTGATTATTCAAGAGTGCCTTGACCTGCTCTTGCTATTTTTTAACTGCTTCTCCCATATGGACTTTTCTTTCATGAAGCAGGGGACTAGAATATCTTCTTGACCTGTGTTACCATTATTACTCAATATCACGACCTTCATAGGATTGTCAAATGACAAAGCACAGATCTGGGGGTGGAGAGAAACTCCAAGCTGACAAATGACAGCAGCCAGCTATTTTGAATGCCAGTTACAGGAAAAAAAATTCTGAAATGTTCTCTGAAACATCTTAAGATAAGTTGTATCTGCTTTACATGTAGAGCTGAGTTACCTTTTCTCTCATACTAAAAGGATAACACTGGTACAACTTAAAGAGACACTGCAAGCTTTAAATGTATGCTCAAATTCTTTTTACAAGTTCTCCTACCAAGGAATTTCTTACAGTAGATGCATTCATCCATAGTTCATATATATGTGGTTTTATCTTCTCTTTAGGCAAGGTATGTTTCCTCTTTTGGAGTTTTCAGAGACTCACACAAATGAGTAAGAGACCATACTTTTTTTCTGTAATTATTTTAATAGGGTGTAGTATCTGACACTATCCTCAATTTGTTTTGTATTAATTTCAGTTCTTCTCAATTCATTTCAAAATATGGCATTCTCCTAAACCTGGCACTGTGACCAAACTACTATGATAGTAAAGCTATGTGAATGTGAGCAAAAAGATATTTCATCACTGAATTAAAATGAGAACCTGGAGGGAGAAGAGGGTAAAGTGTGCAGTGATCTGCTACCAACCATGTCAGTCATTCAGATAATAACTAACTTATATAACTGAAGTAGTCTGCTGAAAAGAGATTACCACAGTTAGAAAAGAGATTTTCCTTTGAAATACTTGATGCTGAAATGTAATGTGATGTTCCTTTGGTCTGGCTTATTTCCTTGGCTCTCTTATTACCTCTTTATATTTTCCCATTGTTCTCTCCGTGCATTTTTTTTCTTTATAGTTTCCAATCATTTTCATCTTTGTGTCTGTGTCAAAAACCTAATCAAATTATTGTTTACTTTGTATGTATCAGTACAGTAATACTATGCAAACCTTAGCTAGTTTTAAGACAGGAAACATATGGTTTTGATTAGGATTAAAGATGTGCAGGTGAAAAATTGGCTGGCCCACTGGGGCCCAAGGGTAGTGTCAAAGTCTAAATAGTAGCCAGTTTAGAAGTGGTATTCCTCAGGGTTTATTCAGTGAGGGCTGAATGTCTTTATCAACATCCTGGATGCACTCTCATCAAGTTTGCAGATGACTACAACTGGCAGCGAGCAGTTAATTGGAATTCCAGGTGGAGGAACGGCCTGGCAGAAGCTTCATGAATTTCAACAAAATCTAGGACTTGGGACAGAAAAGCCCCCTGCGACAGTACAGAGAGGGGACTAGCTGACTAGGAAGCAACTTTATGGGAAAGGACCTGGAATCCTGGTGGACAGCAAGTTGAACGTTAGTCAGCAATGTGTCCTTGCGGACAAGATTGTAGCTTGCAGATCACAGGAAGTAACTATTCCCATTTATGTGGCACTTACGAAGCAGCATCTAGAGCACTGTGTGCTGTTTTGGTCTCCCCAGAGCAAGAGAGGGACCGAAAAACTGGAATTAGTCGAGGAGGGTCACTAACATGGTCAGCAGGCAGCAGCTCATGACATACAAGGAGAGGCTGGGAAACTGGGGGTTGTTCAGCCTGGGGAAGGAAAGGCTCAGGGGGGCTATAACTGGTATCTTCAACTACCTAATGGTGGTTTGTAGAGAGGACAGAGCCTGGCTCTTCTCAGAGGTGCACAGCAAAAAGACAACAGGCTATGAACACAGGGTACAGCAAGGGAAATTCTGAATAGATATAAGGAAGTTTTTACCATGGGGAGCTCAAACACTGAAACAGGGGCTCAGAGAGCCTGTGAAATTTCCATCCTTCCAGATACTCAACACTTGACTGGAGAAGGCTCTGAGCAACCTGGTCTAACTTAGAATTTAGCCCTCTTTAAGCAGTGGATCAGATGACCTCCAGAGATTCCTTCTAGCATAAATTTTTCTGTGATTCTGTGTCTGGACATAAATGAAGCTTTGTGAAATTCTCCAGCTTATGTGAGTGAGACTGTATAAGCATAGGTGACAAGTAGTTTTGAAAGCACCAGAACTTGTTAAACTATATTTCTGTTACTTTCGCTCCTTGCATATCCTTTGTCTGTCTCTTTCACACACAACACAGACTTTTAGCCTATGCTGTCGTGTTGCCCTCAGGGGCGTTAATTTGGATCTCTTCTTTACTACACTACTTACTTTTGAAAAAGAAATCCTAATTATTTTTGAGATCTCAACTGTTCTGTTAAGTTGTAATGAAGTTGGATAATATATTCAGACTTATTGGGGAGAGCACTGTGCTTTGAGCACTAGTGCAGTTGCTAAAGTTTAATTTTCTTAAGATATCAAGCTAGAACAAAAATTGAGTAGGCTGAACAATTGCTCCTAGATAACTGAATTCTGGCCTAGATGTTTAACTACTTTTGCCAAATACTTGCAGTGTATCTCTCATGTTCCATTTTATATTATTCAAGAACCACATCATAAAAATCCATTGTAACTTCTGCTTCTCTTGCTAAAAGTATTGTGGTCAGGAGCTAAAGGCTAGCTAAACCACTGCCTGGTCTCTTGAAAGGTATTTGTTGGGTAAAGTTCTTCTGGCATTTTACCTTGGAAGAGCACAAAATGACCTGTTTGTGCCAGTGGTGAAGTACATATACAGTAGTCCAGGTTCTAGGTCTGTCAGTCTGCCACAGAGGATTTTTTTCCAATGCAGTGGAATATTTCTTTCTGCTTTTACTTTCTTTGCAGAATAAACACTCCAAATGAAATTATGCCACACCGTAACAATTATTTTCAATGAACAAAAAATGCTTTTAGTTTTTTTATAAAAAACTTTATTTTGCACAGCAGCTCTACCTGTCCAAATGGCAGAGGCAATCCTTGTGTGACAACTGCTGATACAACTAGGTCAATACTGACTTTGATGTTTTTTTTCCTATAAAAAGTGAGAGATCAAGGTCATAATGTGGAACTATTTCATAATGAATATGAAAGGAAGGAAAGCAATGACAGACATACACCTCAAACCTGTTTCAGAAAGAATGTGTTGACCTTATCTGAATTGCTCATACTTACTGTCACCTATTTCTCTTACTCTTTCACCACTATCAGAGAGAAAAAAAGATAGATATTTAAAAAATCTATTTTTGATAACAGGCTCTTGGGAGGGGGTCCTAATTTGTTTTATTTATTCCCTACTTCTTTTACAGTCTTCCTTTAGGTTTCAGTGTAATGTCTCAGTTACCTGTGGCTTCCTTCTGTGTATAAGAATTCTAATATTGATGTAGAACACAAGGTAATATTCTTAGTGAAACTTTTTAACCCCTTGCCCTGAGGTACTGGGATTGTCTGCTGCTTTTATTAAGGATGTGAAAAGCTTGTGGTTGGTATGTGATGTCATGTTTACCTGGTAATTTTCTATGGGCATGAAAAATCTATGCATTTGTATTGTTTTTTTCTCTTGAGAATTTATCCCTGTTAGAATGGCTTGCTTAGAAGAAGGCAAAAACCTTGTTGTGCTAGAGCTTCAGCCTTTATTATCTGCAGGTCATGCACTCCAGGTTCCATGAATGACCTTGTCTAATTGTGTTTATTTCCTGCTAAATTACTTAATACTTAGTAGTATTAATCCTCATGCACCGCTTTCTATATCAAGGAATGCTGAATGAGTCTTAACATTGCTAATAGGCCAAATACATAAAGGTTTAAAGAGAAAGTCTTCCATTTTTCTACCTTTTTTTAAAAACCTTAGTAAACTTCATTAGGTTAAGACATAGAGGGAATTTCAGGATTTTTCTTCTTGCTATATACATGCAAGAATTAAATCTCTTTAACTATACGGAGTAACATTTTAAGCCCCTTATCCCATTATACTAGTTCTTTATAAGCATTTAGTACTTGACAGACCTTAGCCTTCTTTTCGTAGAGTTTCATGTCAGGTCTCAACCGGTAGTTGAAACACAGATAAGTAGATACGGTGAAAAGAATACAGTGGTGTTTTTCCTGTGTAATCTTTCCAACTGATAACAGAAAAGGCAGGAGAATCTGTGCCTTTTAAGAAGTCTTTTTTGTGTATCTGTGTGGGGCAGGTGGATTAGCATTTAGTATTTTCCAGAGAGGTTGTGCTGTCTCCATCCTTGGAGATTTTCAAGATCCATCTGGATAAAGTCCTGAGCAACCTGCTCTGATCTCATAGCTGACCCTGGTTTGAGGAAGTGGTTACATTAGAGATCTCTCAAGGTCTGTTCTAGCCTGAATTATTCTATGGTTCTATCATTTTGATATATAGCTAAAATAGTCATAAACCTTAAAGTTTTACTTTAAAGATGCACTTTAAGGCTTCAAAGAAATTAAAGAATCATAACTTTATTATCTGCTCTTTGCCACAGTTGTTCTAACAGTTTCAAAGTAAACTTGACTATCTAAATGTAATCAAGGATTTATGGTTTTAAAGCTTTGAGAGAAGTTCCTGCAACTTGTGGAGTGAAAAGAGAGCATTGTCAAGACAGTCCAGAAAGGATGGTACCACTTGTACCTCAGTCATATCTCAGATAACGGATGGTAACACCTGAATTTTGTACCCTGAGAATGAGAATAGTTCATGAATTTGTCCCCTCTCTGCTTAATTACCATAAAAGTTAGGATGGTGTCCTACTGGCATGTTCTGCAGTTGGCCTGAGACTGCTGTTAGACTTTGTAATTAAGTTGGATGCTATATTTGACCTTGTCTTAAGGGAGCTCATAGCTTGGCCACAATAGATTACTTTCTATTCAGCAGGCCGTTGATGAAAATCGTTGTTTCTTCTGGCTGGTCTTCTACTGCAAGACAGCCTCTCACTTGTGATTCCTTAAGAATGGCCATTAGTAGTAGTCCTCAAGATTCTCTTCTTTGCTTTTTCTATTGTAATATATCCAAATTAAGTAATTTTTTTGCAGGTTCTTCTCTTTTTCCTTTTAATCCATTGTATTGCTTCAGAGAGGTTTTTTCTTGCCAGGCTGTTCGTGAGCTCGGTATTTGTAGATTCAAAGGAAACTGAGTTCTGTCTAGGTGACTCTTCTTTCTTCGCAGTTTGGTCCCTTCTGTAGTTTCCAAACCAGATGTGATGGTCCGCCTCTTAAAATCAGTTGCCCTAAAAGTGAGATAACCCAGGAAAAGGCATACCTGTGGCAACAGTGTCAGAGCAGGAACTAGAGAAATGGTATTGTAACCAGCAGTTGGTACGTTACTAACAGAGAGGTATGTTCTAAAATATTACATCAAGCTAATTTCGCTAACCTCCAAAAGAAAAAATATGGTTCTTTTCTGATCCACTAAGAATAAATAATGGTTATCGTAGACAACAAAGCTTACAAAGTATTCTTTGCTCATCTAAATACAAAACTGCATTTATCTAAACCAAGATTAAATGTATGCTTGTTTTTTTTATTGATGATAGACAAGAAAGCTATCAATTATCACTTCACTGTGTATTTTGAATAGAAATAATATAAATTTATTGCTGTTTAAACTTTTATGTTCATAGTAATTTCAGTAGTGTGATTTATTTACAGGTTTTTAATGCAAAGACAGCAGAGCTCTTGAGTCACCATCAAGTAGAGATTCAGCAGAAATTCCCTAAAGAAGGGTATGAATTCTCTGCTTATTTTGTTTTGTACATTTCAGTAGAACTTTCTTAATTTCATGTATGAATGACTAAAACTGAAGTTGCTGAATAATTATTAAGAACATGATATTACTAAAAAAGATCATATGATAGGAAAAATGACATTCAAAAGCACATTCAAAAGTACATATGCAATATGTGCTCTAAGTCAGACAAACTAAAATTACTCTGTGACCGATCATTAACCTGTCCTCTGCCAGTCTCATTTAAAGTGGTACAGTGGTTATTCTTGCAGTTTAATCATATTCTATAGCTTAGTCCATGCAAGTTGCTTAGTTTGCCCTCTGATTTTCTTTTTTAATTTTTTGTACTTAATTGACCTCTTAATTTGCCTCTGAAGCCCTATATATGGAAACAAAACAAACCAAAATTCTTTATTTTCTGCAGATACTTCTACTGTGACAATGCAGCTTAATGGCTTACTGTTTAAAAAGACTTTGCAGTTCATTAAACTTTTTCTAGATGTATAAAACTTGCTTTGTAATTATGATTGTGTCAAAATGTTCAGCTGGTTCTAGTCCAGACTTAGAAACCTTCCTTATTTGCCATAAATGTAACTTTTGCGTTAATTTTGTTTTTATTAACCGATGTTTACTGTTTGTTAAAGGTGGGTGGAACAAGATCCAAAGGAAATCTTAAAATCAGTCCATGAATGTGTGGAAAGGACCTGTGAGAAACTGCAACAACTGAACATAGACATCACTAACATAAAAGGTATTCCTCATGCTTAAGGGTAATGGAGTGCCTTAACATACTTACGGTTGAACAAGTCAGATTCTCTACTTTTTAAGTCAATACACAGAAAGATGGCAGCATACTCTGGCTTCAGAAAAAAAAGTTAGTTCTTATAATTTGGGAGGACTAACTAGAGAAGAAGTTGTTCATGCATATTAGCAATGGAAAATCTACAAAGTAGACTTGCCTAATCCTGCAAAATCGGAGACAAATGATAAATGAAAAAATGCTGCCATTTAAAATGTTCAGGACCTATTGGCAAAAACTAATTTCTCTCTCTGTGTTGTTGCCATGTCACTTTGTGGCAAAGTAAGAGGAGATGTAAAGCACATGGATTAAGCAGCAGAAGAGGAAAGATCAGTTTTTAGAAGCAATTTCTAGGTTATAATATCAAAAAGTTGGAAGCATTTTATTTCCTGTTTACTTTCCTCTTCTCCTTACCTACTCCTCCCTCCTTTCTACCCCACCCTCCCCTCCCTCACCCCCAAAAAGGGGAAAACAAACCTTCTGAAAAGGATACTTCTTTCTATTTTGTCCTGAAGCTATTGGAGTCAGCAATCAGAGAGAAACAACAGTGGTTTGGGACAAGACAACTGGAGAACCTCTTTATAATGCTATTGGTAACTACTGTACTTTCTGAATATGTAAGATTGTTAAAATGAGTGCGTAGTAGAAAAATACTTTCCTAATTCTGTGCAGGTTTCATTGTGGCCTACTAACTACTTTGATTTTGGTGATCTCTCTCATAAGTTGTGAGTTTGTATAAACAAGTGCAGTTAAGGTCTATTCTGTTACAATTATTACTTAATGGCTTAATAAATCAATTTATGGGCTTTTAACAAAAAAGCAAGGCCTTGAGAGTTTTTGTGCATCCTTAGCATGTAGTGAAGCTCTGACTCATGCCAAATCACTTCCTTTTAAATGAAGGAGCTTACCAAATTCTCAGGAGTCTTTTGATTTAACTTAAACGGAAAAACATTTTAAGTAGATTTAATGAATACTTATTGGCTTGGATTTGCATTTTTAATTTATTTACTGTGACTTTTTCAGATTATGTCATCAGAGAAACGGTAATTGTCTGGGTTTGCTCTCTTAGCCCATGGCAAGCGTCAGATAGTTTAGTTTAGTGTAATATCATCAAAAGAGCAGGGCTATTCTATGTTCAAGTATATATTGTTTACAATTTTATCTTAAGCCAAGCTGTACTTTGATAGCTCTGTCACAGTGCTCTAGTTCAAAGTTTTCGTAGTAATAGTAAATAATCAACCTACTGTTTATTTTAACCTTCTAATTCTGACGTTCATCTGCTGAAAACTAAGAAATATGGTTAGTCGTTTGTTTGCGCTCTGGTAGAAAAAACATATATCCTATTATGTGGAAATCCTGCTATGATTTCTGTAATCATTTTTTCTTCTAAATAGAATGAGTTTCTCACCATTTTTAATTTTTACCACAATGTATTAAATATAGAATTGTAAAATTCTTTCAGCTATTTAAAATTCAATAACAAAAGCAGCAGTTTACTGATAAGAACTCCAGTTTTGTAGGAGAAGCTCATAAATGTCGCTATTCATGTATTAAAGGATTTGATGAACTAATTTTATTTGGGCTTTTAGTGTGGCTTGACCTGAGAACGCAGTCAACAGTTGAACGCCTTCTTAAAAGAATCCCAGGAAAAAATAAATCCTTTTTTAAGGTAATACATATTGCAGAATATTTAATTAGTAGCTGAACACTTATTGCTACAGTATATAATGGCTTTATGAGAGACGTGCTTAAAATTCCATGTACCAAAGTAACTTGGCTGTAACTTCCAATCCCTTCTTAGTTTGTCATGTAATAATAAATGTGCATAGTACTATACATGAATTTGAGACTGTAGAAATGTTTGTTTTTCTTGAAATAAATTGATCACTTTTCCCACGTAGCTCACTAGAAAAGTTAAAAGGGTATTTGTTAGTGAGACTTAATTATGTGGTTCCTGTTCAGTGATAACATCGCTCAAAACAATTAGGAGCAAGTACAAAAACTCTGTTCTAAAAATCTATTTATTGATGTAAATATATCATTTCTTTTCTATTTTATATCTGTATTGTTGAAATTAATTGCACTCAGTTTGAAATAGGGAAATATTTTATAAAAAGTAAATTTATGTATTTATATATATGGAAGATAAATGCTTGCAAAATGGTATCATAGTTCTTTGTTTTATTACTGTAGCCAGGAAGTGGATATCAAAAAGCATATAAATTTGACTTTTAAGCAGAAGTAGAATACAAACTCCATCTTTCCTGTGTTGTGTTGCTCTTTTTCTTTTTTTATCATCATTGCTTGCTGTCTAGTTATATGGAGTTATCTTAGATAACTTCTGCAAACAACTATTTCCACATAAATGGTCTTTGAACTGTGTTTAGATCAGCTTTGATCTTTGTCTGTTAATGTGCTAGTCTTTTGGCTTTGATATTTTCAGACTTGCATATTGTGTGCTTTATACTTACTTAGAAAAAAAGCTTCTGTAATTTCTCTGAGTTTTGGTCTTGGGTTTTTCACTTAGTTTTTTTCCCATTATTTTCACATATAATTGTAATAATCATGGAAAGGATGCTTGCATGGTCTTTACTTTTTTATTTTTTAAATTTACAGTTTAGGACTGGTCTTCCACTTAGCACTTATTTTAGTGCAGTGAAACTTCGATGGCTTTTGGACAATGTGGAAGAGATTAGGCAAGCAGTTGATGATGGGAGAGCTATGTTTGGGACTATTGATTCATGGCTTATATGGGTATGTATTTATGAGTTTATTCTCACTTTTTTTTTAATGGATTTGTTTCGGCCACGTCATGCAAATTCCTAGCAAAAGCATTTTCTGGTGCAGACATAGGCAAAATTCCTAGTAAAAGCATTTTTCTGGTGCAGACATAGGCAAAACCAAATTTTGAGCATTGACCTGCTGCTTGGAATAATATTTAATCATAATCTTTTGAACAATTTAATAGTTCTTACGAAATAGCACTTACTAAATATATCCTATTTTTAGCAGAACTTACAGGCAGAGCAATACAGTTCTAGCAAAAGTACTGTAATGCGTGGTGTTCACTAGTCACTAGTGCAAGCCATTAAAGAAATTCTGTTAAAGTTCTTTACAGGATGAACCAGGATAAACTTTTGTCTTCTCAGTATCTTTTTTTTTTTTTTGGTAGGTGTTTGTGTGTAACTTCCATTTATAGGTTGCAGCAAAATTCTGCTCATGATTTTGGAAAATCTTAGCCTTTAGAAAAAGTATATTAGCCACCTTTGCAATATAAGAATCCAGGACCTAGTCCTGTATCCTTATTACTTCTCTCATGCCTTTGTTCCTTTATATTAGGTCTGTCTCTTTAGTTGTTGCAAAACCAGCCGAGTTTGGAATGGAATTTAGAGCTTTATTAATTTAGAACTTTTTTGTACTTTTTTGATCCTAACTTGTAACTTTTCTTGGCTAATATTGTTGATATGCTTATTCAGAGTTTGACAGGTGGGAAGAATGGAGGTGTTCACTGTACAGATGTAACCAATGCCAGTAGAACAATGCTGTTCAATATTCATTCCTTGGACTGGGATCCTGAACTCTGCCAGTAAGCTCAGTTTTTCATTAATGCTGCTATTTAATAGACCTAATAAATGACGTTTTTTAAAGGAACAATAATAGTAAGAATGTTATCTAGACCAAGATCAGCAATTGTTATAGTTGTATTTACTGTTACCATTAATAATTAAGGTTCATTGTTCTCTCCAAATGTTCAGATTACCACTATCTGGGTTAATTAAAGAGAGCAGAGCCTTGAATTTTTCTGTAGTTGGAAGGCTGGTTCATGGAAATGATAACACTTAATAGCTTCTTTATTCCTTATTTTACAGTCAAATTTGTAAGACAGTTACTATGATAGTGTTTCTAGTGTTTTAAGTTTAGATTTGCTAAAAAAATATTATAAAGATACATTGGCTATTTGTTGGAAGAGGAGTGACTTCCTACATGGAAGAGTTGGATATGTCTTCAAAATACTCTAATACACTGTTTTACTTGATAATTCAGTATCATGTACTGTAAGAAGCGGAGAAGCACACAGTCTTAGTTTGAGCCCTAGAAATCAAGGTTCCCGTTGTAGGTAGCTTTTATCTTTTAGCTTAAATTTATTTAAGGAAATAAATGCAAACTGCTTTCTGATTTAGCAGTAATAGTATACATAACTTATTTTGTATTGTGTTCAGGTTCTTTGATATTCCTATGGAAATTCTTCCAAAAGTACGAAGCTCTTCAGAGATTTATGGCCTGATGGTATGTTTTCTGTGTGTGTGTTTGTGAAGTTAATCTTGTAAAGATAAAACTATATTAATATAGATTAGCAGAATTTCCATAGAGAAAAACTACTGACTTTTTTTAGACCAGTATTGTTTGATTCATAATTACTATGTCATTATCTCTTGTGTAATATTACGGAAGCAGAAAACTTGCTGTTTTCTATTTTAAGCATCAAATAGGCAAAACAAGTTGGGAGAGATTTTGATAAGGATACAAAATTGATTTTTATTGTCAAGTACTTGCTAATTTTGAAACTACACAGCAGAATGCCGTTATAATCAGTAGATTAAAAGTAATGAGATTGCTGTGAGTAGGGCACAGTCTTTATACTTCTTGTACAACTGAAATTTGAATAGAGGTGACAAAAATTGCTGTGGAAGTCTTCACAACCTCAGAAAGCTGGACAAGATGTGTAATGTATCATTTCCACATAACTGAAGGCAAGATTTAGTTTATATGAACTGTAAAATCACAAGCGACACCGCAGTTTGCCTTCTTTTTGAAAAATAAATTCCCTTTGCAGTGTATAATATATAGCAATTCAGTTAAAATTTTTTTGCAGCTTTGTGATGTTTTCTTAATCACACTGTTTCCCTTGCAGCTATAAATATTACTTAAGAGTGAATTGTTGTCATGAGGCTGAGGTCTCACATTTACTTTGTTACAGCACCAGCTCTTCTGATACTGTGATATCTAATATATTCTTTGATTAGGTAGAGGCGTCAGAATAGGATGCGCTGGATACTGAGATTTTTGTGTAGTAGAAATTCTTTTTCCTGGTATTTTGTCCTCTTACTTGAAAAGTACATACAAGCATTTTATAATTAAGATAGATTATGAGGCTTTTATGTGGAATGTAATTCTATCTTGCATGAAACTGAAGTAATTTTACTAGTCTGTTAATGAAGATGCCAGTAGGAATCACAGTTGACTTTTAGTAATGTAGAAAGTCAGATTAGGAAGAATTATATTAAGCTGAACAAATGAGGCAAATGCTAACAGGCACTACACGGCAATTGAAATATAATAGCTTATCACTCTAAATTTGACCTTTTATTTCTCTTTGTTTTTTCCACTCATCTTTTTCTTTTTGTTGACTGTAGAAAATCTGTCCTAGCCTGGTGAGTAGAGGCTTTCATTAGGCTGACTACCCATATCTCATTCATTCTGTTTAGATACTGTGCATTTCCACTGATGTAAGGATAAGTAAAACCACACTTTCTAGATCAATAAATTTGGCAAGTATATCCAAATCTGAGACATCACAATTGGTGTTCATCTCAAAGCCATTTATTAATTGTAATCTTTACTCTTGCCTTTATTTTGATGTGCAGGCTATTGAATATTTCTTCTCATAGTGAAGTCAAAAAATACAGCTACTAGCTAATAAATGTTGGCTATATGATTTTATGAATGAGGAATGTGGGCTATTTTGTCTACAAATATTCATTCTATTATAGTGAAACTTTAGATTCATGGGTTTTTTTTAAGCACATTTATAAATTCAATCGCGTTAAATCCAGTTAATTAAAATGAGAATTAAAAAAATAATCGAAATTCATATTGGAAATGCACGTGCATGGCTTCACTGAAAATGTGTTGTCACCGTTCCATAGAGAAAAATAAAAGAAAGAGGTTAAGATTGGTGGGACACAGATTTCTTATGATACCTACTGCAAGAATGCAGCTGAAAAAGCATGTGCTAGTATTTCGAATAAATTCCCCATGAGACTTAAAATGCTGTATCTTAAAATGAGGGATCTGTCTTTGCTTAGACGGTTACCATAATCACTCTTTTTCTAGTCACTTTACTATTTTACACTTTTGCGTTTTAAACTTGTCACAGACTGCATGTTATTCTAAGCCTCATTTTCTGTACATTATAATTTCAACGAAATCTATTTTAGGAACTGTAAAGTGGCATCAAGTATACCTGTAAATTTCCTGCTCTCTCTTTTTTTAGTGTGTTAGGCATGAGCTGCGTTAAGCTTAAGTCTGATGTACGTCTGAACTGAACCATGTTGCTGAAGTGACTGTTGTTTGTTTCCTTTTAGGCATTAAAGCCTACTTTCACGGGTTTTTTGCTTTTTGTTTTTTTTTTTTTAATTTTAAAGGAGCTATTTTCTTTTTACACTACCTGCCTTCAATACATTTCTCTTTAAAATGATATAAAAGGGAGACAGCTCTATCTTTTATTTACCTACCATAAGCAATAACTACGTCTTAGTTAACATAAAATAGTGAGTCTGTGCTGTGTTCACATAGGAATCAATGTTTTTCGTAAGCTTAATTTAGAGGGATTGACCTAAAGATTCCCCTTCTGACTTCTCCTGGTCACTTATTTCTGTGTGAGATATCTGAGGGTTTTGTTTGTTTCTTTCTTTGTTGTTTTTGTTTTTTTGCCTTGTTTGCTCTGAATTCCTAGAAAAACAAATGCTGCAGCCAGAAGCGTTTCTCCCTGTAACATTATCTCTTTATAGATATTTGCTATGGTTATTTTTCCCTAGAAATTTTTATCACAAGTGAAAGAAGTGTCATAATAGTAAAAATCAGCTTTTTAGAGATTGATCTATAGTCTGGAAGAATCACGTTCTGGGTCCTGCCTTTTGCCAGACTGCATCGTGATTCTGCCACCTCAAAAGTGGTGATGGAAAAAAATGTTAAGTGCGTACATTTTATTTTGCAGTTATACCATATAAACTGCAGTGATACCAAACTTGCTTCCCCCCGCCCCATCTAAACTTTTCCCCTATTTTTATTTTTGGGTTGAGTTAGCCTCTGTATTTGACTATAATTAGATAATATGGGTTTATAGTTTTCTATTCTGCTTGTGTTTGGTCATAATCTTTTTTTTTTTTATTGGAAGGTGAATCAAAAGTATGCTAGTCTGCGAACTTGGGATCTGGGGGATGGAGACCAAAAGGTAGCTAGACCTAGTTAGGCTTACATAGAGGATCTGCACTTCCAGTGAAAATCTTTTGTGGTCTGCTGCTTAGAAGAAAAGTGGAAAATACCCCCATTCTGAGGCCATTTAACTGTTTTAGCTGTGATTATAAGATAAATCATGCTTCTGCATTTCAGTAGGATAGCCAATGCACAAGTGTTTTCACTTGTACATTTATATTGTGATTAAAGAATGTGATTTAGTTCCTGTGTTGGTGGGAACAGGATTAAAGAATGGACCTCCTGGGAATGTTCCAGGGGTTCTGGAGATTGTGGATATCAGAAGAGGTAAGCAGGTTACGTTCATTTGTCTCTGCCATTTTCATACACATCGCACCAGGATGATATTGATGGTGTTGCATAGCTTGTAAATGTTTCTATTGTCACTATGTCTATTTTTACTTAGTAAAACCTTTTTGATATAGGTTTTGAATTCTTTGGCTCTGATACTGAAATCTTTAACTTGAAATATGCAAGCATTTCTATTGAATGCATACTTTAAAGGCAAGGCAACTTTTCAAACATTAGTGACACTGCTTTTACGTGACTGTCCCTTCTTGCATGACTTTGGGCCTTGTTTCATCTGTTTGTGTCTACATCTGAGATCTATATCTCCCTACTTAAATATGAGTTTAGCTTATTTCTCATTACAAATTGTAACCATGGAAAGCTAATTCTCAGCTTTTCTTTCTCTTTTTGTGAAATCAGAAATCAGGAGCCTTGACAGGTGTACCAATTTCTGGGGTGAGTTCTTCAACTCAAATTCTGGAATGAGAACCTGATACTGCATGACCATGTCTTCATTGGAGAAAAGCTTTAACATGGGTGAATCTAGCTACAAATTAAGTTGATGGTTTCATGGTTTCCCCTTTTTTTTTTTTTTTTTTAACTTCATGTTAAAAGTATATATTTTTGAAGATAAACTGACAATGACGAACCTGTTCAATTACTAAATTAAGGCCTGGATGTGTTCATACACTTGACAACTTTAATGTTCTGTTGGCAATTTAGGATCTCCAAGTAAATTAGTGTCATCACAAAGCGGAAGCAAGCTACGTTTTATATATAAAATGAGTTGCGTATATAAATTATCCAGAAATGTTGGATAGAGTCACAGCTGTTTCTAGTATCATATACATCCAGATAGTAAATTTAATTTTGAGATTTAAAAAAATTTGTCACCATGTAGTATGTTGCGTTTTCATTTGCAGTTCCTACAGTTCTTACACAAGGGACAGTAGTAGTAAGCATGTGTTGTCTCTATAGATGTCTTCCTCATTTTCAATTACATATGTTCTCCTAACAGGTTACAGTTAGAGTTAAATATATCTGCTCATGTTACTTGTTCGTGCTTGTGATTCATGCAAAGACATTTATTAAAGAATCCCTCTCTTTTCAGTGCTTGGGTGACCAGTCTGCTGCTCTTGTTGGACAAATGTGTTTTCAAGATGGACAGGCAAAAAATACGTAAGTGATTATGAAAGTTTTGAGATAAACAGCAGGTCTATTTTTAATTAAATTCTGTGTTCTCTTTCAATCTAAGTGCAAAATGCTTTTGTAATTATCACATACCTACAACTCTGCCTTTTGACTGTGTTAGCTTACAAGTAAAGAGTGTCCTGACTTTTACATAAAATACTAACGATATTAAATTGTGAGGTAAATTTTGTAACCGAGTAATTATGAGGAATCATCTCTATGTGACGGGAGGTTTTTCATTTTAAAATTCTCTAAAACACAGACTAAAGCAGTTGTCAATATTTAACTTCAGTGATTTAAAGCTAACCGTATACAGGAGGCCATGTAAGTTAGATTGCATAGATTTGAATGGCAAGAAATGTGCAGCGTTGCTAGATTGGAAGGATTCATTTAGGTTTCAGTGCTTAGCTTTGGTTCTATGTTTAGCTTAACATGGAGACTTGTAAATCTGTTTTTTTTTTTTTTTCTAGATCTCAACCTCTTAACATCCCTTGTTTAAAATATCTGATCAGTTAAATTGGGGAACTGGTATACTCAAACATTCGTTTGAGGAAGAGCTCTCTGTTTAAATGACTTATTGTTCCATTTACAATTGTGTGCTTAACTGAGTGTTTAGGTACATACACAGTATTGGACTTTCACAGATTTAATTACACATTAATCTGTAGTTGTTGATAATTACCTTTCACTTTACCTTCTATGTTTATATACCATTTTAATAGTTTAATAGTTAGTGGCCTTGCATTTTAATAAAACAAACATGAATATTGTCAGAAAGCATTTTTATAACACGAGATCTTTAGAAAAAAATCCAGTTGAACCAAAAGGTAAAAGTTAAATGTCAGATGGGTTTTTTAAACCTATTTGTTATACAATGATATCTTTTATTTTCTCCAAATACACCTGAAGATTTTCTCAGTACTATTTTAAGCTACTGCTTTCAGGGTATTAAAAATACTGAGAAACAATTATTTAGAATAAGTTAGAGTGAATTATGAGTTTTGCTATACTCATTAAATTGTGTTCTTGTATGTGTATGTGCGCACATACGTGTGATATGGTCTTCAAATGAGAAAAATGCCATTTTTAGAAATATTTGAACAGACTATGTTTATAAAAAGCTAATTTCTTTGTGACAGGAATGAAGTTTCTTAAATTTTCTCCTTTAAAAGTTTGAATTTAATTTTGTACAGTTTTTATTTTATAAAGTAGCTTTCATAATCAGCTTAGATTGAAGTGAGTAAACACTGCCACCAAAGAGGAGCTCTGTCTTAGTTTTCAGCCCTGATGTTCCTTGATCCAGTGACTAGACAAGAAATAGTGAGCCAGGGAAAGAACAGTGGAATTAGATCTTTCAGCTACAGCTTGCATTTGGATCAACCTTTAGAGGAAGGTTTTATGATCAGTTAGTGGAAGCATAGCCTCCAAGGGGGAAAAAAGTGATGTTTTGATCCTCTGCAGTGGAGTCATGGTTGCATGAACAGCGGTAATCGGTTACCCTTTAAACATACTGTTTTTAACTTTCCTTTTCTTTCACTCTAGGTATGGAACAGGATGTTTCTTACTGTGCAATACAGGTCATAAGGTCAGTTGCATGTTTTTCAGTTGTTCACTTGCTTTCAACAATTTTCTTATAAGTACTTGAATACAACTATAAATTAGACTTTCTCAGACTTACTAGCAGCAAGTATATTGCTATAAAGGAAAAATGCATATTGTAATCCAAAAGAATGGAAAATAGTAACTTTTTCAATATATTTAAGACTCAGTTTCATAGTTTCCAAAATAAACTCTCCATAGCAAGTTTCTCAGTCTTTCCTTATACGTGTTTCTTAATCTTACCCAAGAAGTGCTGAATGTTGTGTTACTTAACCGCATGCTTTTCCCCTTGACTTGGTTAATTCTTTTCTTCCCTTTGTTTTTTTCCCCATTTGTCCCATGTTGTAGTAGTAGTAGTAGTAGTTGAATAAATAATGGGAAGCTTTGGCTTGCGTCTTATTCACATCTCCTTCTGAAGAACCCCAATTCTCTGCTATTAAGAGTCTGGAAAGATTTGTGGATCTTGTGGAAACAAGAATTAATGCAAGTGATCTGAGGATTGTATCTTAGGTGCTTATTTGGAGTGCTAGATCATTTATTTGGTTTAAACTCTCTGTATTTCAAATTTGTGTCAGTAAAGGTTTTGTCTCTTGCTTATTGTCATTTGAATATATTCATTTAAATATTTTCTGCCTCTGTTCATGCTTTACCTTTACTTTTCCTTTCCCCTTTTAGTCTGTGTTTTCTGAGCATGGTCTTCTGACCACAATAGCTTACAAACTGGGCAGAGATAAACCTGTTTGTTACGCACTAGAAGTGAGTACAATATTTTCTTCCTTTTTATAGTAATATGTATGTAATAAGATAAAATGTACCATTAGTGATAGATATTCTTCTTTACTACTGTTTTCTTGTATCCTTCGGTTATTTTTAGAGAAACTGTTCAGGTGCACAGAAATTTAAATAGATTTTTATTATAGCTTAAGTGCCTCAAGGCTTATGTGTGTTTTTGATTATCCTATCTCTACCTCCAGTCAAAATAACTTGATCAAATATTTCTACACTGCATCACTTATATTTTCAGATCATTATAGCTAAAATATTTTTTCTGTTACGCAGTATTTCAAATCTGACTGATAGATAATAATTTTGTATTAAGATTATGTTATCCTCTCCCATAATAAAAGATGTGATTAGATGTCTTTGGTTTTTGCTTAGATCTAACGGATTTTATTTCTAACTTTTTAAACTGAATCAAATTTCTGAGACACGAAACATCTAAAAACTGAGCTCTTTTGATCTACTAAATTATAGATGCCTACTTCCAGAATCTAGTTCCTCAGTTCTCCACACAACTCGGAGGACATCCAAGTGCTGTAGATAATTAGGTTTTTACTCCTTTAACTTCAGGTTTTGGGGTTTAAAGCTCTGATTCTGAAGCACAGAGCAGCTCAGCAGCTATTTTGCACCAAAACTTCATTGGGATCGGTATAATAATTATTTTTCCATCTATCTCGCTTAGTGGACAAAACACAGTTATTGAATTGTCTGCTGCCCTTGAGCTTTTGTAGTGAGCCCATTTTTTCCATGTCAACCAGACAACTGGTGGGTTACAATACTCTCATGCAATATGAGAGGCTGTGTTCGTTTCCCTTTCCTTCCCTAAGGAAAGTTAAGCTTGCATTTGCCACCTTCCGGCAAACTTTGGATTTGTTGTTGTTGTTTTTTGTTGTTGTTGTTTAATCCAAGTTCTTAAAGCAAGAACTAGAACTACTGAGAATGATTCATAGGTCCACATGCTCAGGCATGCACATGCACACTGTCTTTCTTCCTCATCTCCAAGTCCTTAATTTTGCTGTTTGATGAAATAGCTTCAGCAGAAAGTATTGAGTACTCCCTTCTCCTGCATCCAGGCTACAATGGTCTACAATCTGGTAGTTGAGACACTCCCGACAAAGGCAAGAAATATGGATTCAGCTTTTTCTTTCAATCAAACCCATATCTTGTAACTGTAATAACTAGCTGGTTAGCAGCTTGAAGAAGGAGCCTTGCCTCCTCCTAGCGATGGCTTTGAACAAAAATACGGTGCTGCTTCTGTTTGCATTGAAGTTAGCTTAGGAGACTTGAGATGGTCTTGCTGAGGAATCCATTTGGACTTTGGTGTGAGATGGGAGCCATGCCATTCCTTTGTGATATGATGGGGGCATTCAGAGCCGTTTGCTGAGGCAGCAGTGGAATTTTGCTGGCAAATGCCAGTGCCTAAATTTTCTTTGTCTCTCCAGGCATTTGTAGCTAGACTGCAGCACTTGAAGAACTCAACCACATAATGAGTCTCATTTTTTTTAAATCAAAGCATAAAAATCTTAATTTGTCTGAAAAAGAAGACTGAGGCTACTGGACCTCATCATTGTATATTCAGGAGAAGACCTAAATGAGAGGGATCAAGAAGACTGCTTAGCAAATGTCATGGTAACTCCCCTCTAATGGAAAAATCGTGCAGTAGGCACCTTTTTTTTTTTTAGAGGGAACCTGAATAACTGGCTGCTGTTCTTACGTGGCAGCCTCTAGCTGGTTGTGAGCGTTCTTGAGAGTGCTCTAAGTTCTTACTATAATCTTGGACTTGGAGGCCACAGCTGCCTTTCCTCTCCAGTCCTGTAAAAACAAACATGATGCTGCCAGTTGTGGTCTCCTAATCTTGTAGTGATTTTGTTTCCTCTAGGGATCTGTTGCAATAGCAGGTGCTGTTGTTCGTTGGCTGAGAGACAATCTAGGTATCGTTAAGACTTCACAGGAAGTTGGTGAGTGTTCACAGTTTGGAGCTGTTAATTTTTTAGGTTTTCTTTTCACCTGCCTTGATGTCTCTAATGTTGAGCAAAAGCTCAAAATACTCAAGTAAGGAGAAACTGGAAGGTACATATATTTTGCTGCATTAAGATAATTCATTTCGCATCTATGAAATCACTGTTTATTGACATGTGTGTTTCATACAGCATATCACTAAGGTCTTTGAAACCCTTTGTCAGCTGCATTCTATTGCAGTTCATATTTTTTGGTAGTTTCCCTACCAAAGAGACGTCCAGAAAGGTATTACGCTTATAATGTATTTCCTGCTTTCATAAAATATTGAATTGTCCAAAGCCAAGAGTATGTAAGTCTCATCTATGGAACCCAGTAAAATTGTATCCTAAACCAACATACGCATTCCTGTCATAACCAGGAGAACCTGAGACCCTAAACATGCAGTCATCTATGTAGAAGGATTCATATGCATTGAGGCAGTTGAAGACCTCAGTTGGCAAAGCTATCTCTTTAATTGAATTGTAGGTGATGATATAATCCATTTGGGCTAAGAATATTGTAATCTTTTGGAATTTGGGTAGCTGATGTTTTCTGCTTGAGCTGAACTGAAACCAGCTGATGTGTAGTATTATGGAAATGGGAACACAAAAAAGTTTGAAAAAGGAGAAAACTTTTGGAAGCATGCAAGTCTGAGTTTCAAAGTGACGGGTTTTAATGATTAATAGGATTAAAAAGTAATTCACTACATTTTTAAATATTCTGAATGTCTTATTCAAAAGTGGAAATATTTGGAACTCACATTTGACTTAAGACTTCAAAGACTAGGCAAAAACTGAGACTATCAAGCTGTTTTTTCTAGTTTGAAGTTTCACAGATCCATACGGAGGCATATATACCGTTGTCACTAGAATTATCCAGTTTTTCAAACATGATGGTACCTATTGACTTCATAAGTTTGACTAAACCTTTAAAAGGTTTAGGATTCAAGAACTTTAATCTTGTTGGTATTATTAAAATCAGGCAGGAATTTGTCACCATTTCCTATTTCTCTGAACATGTCTTCCTTCTCTCTTCATTGCTTTTTTAAAGTGGAGTCTGTATGAATTGAAGCAAAATGTTAACTTGTAGACTTTTTGGAAAAGTTGTCCTACCTCTCTTTATTGCTATGCTTCCATCCATGCAAACAGAATAACTTTATAAAAGCAGATAAAACATATGTTCTTTTTTTTGTTATAGAATATAGGAAGGAGCCACATACCTTACTTCTTTTGCAGTTCTGGATATTTTAATATAACTCTTTATAATTATAAATATTTTAATATTGGAGAACTCAGATATCCAAAGTTATTACTCGGGCATTAAGAAACTTGAGATTTCCTTGCAGCTGGCCTTGTAATTGCATGCTTAAGCTGTGAATTTAAAGCTCTAAATCCATTTGAAATTAGTGGGAGTTTAGTTCCTAACTCCCTTTGGTCTTGATCCAGTTTTCCTTGCTTGCATTAACTTAAATGCAAGTAAAGTGTGACCTTTTGGACAGCTTTGAAGGATACCCTTTGAAAACCTCACAGAATCTAAGTCAGTATATTGAACACACAGTTTTGGTTTTTGATTTTGATTTTTCATTTTATATATTGCACAGTCCCTTATTCCCTCTCTTTCACTTATAATGCTACAAATGGATAAATGGTTAATGAGCAGAATGACAGAGTTAGCTGTATTTTCTAGTTGTAAATGGCTTGGTTATTTTTGTGGCTACCTTGTATATTCTGAAATATTCCTCGTTTAAACAATGACATCTTTAAGTGTCATATTTATGTGCTGGTACACTTGTGAAAAGCTAAATAAAGACTGTTTTTCTGTGTGTGTGTGTGTGTGTGTGTGCGCACTAGAAAAACTGGCTGCAGAAGCTGGAACTTCTTATGGCTGCTACTTTGTGCCAGCATTTTCAGGACTGTATGCGCCATACTGGGAACCCAGTGCAAGGGGGTAAGGATCTGATTAAACACTGTGTTTGCAGGAAGATTTAATTATTTGAAGACACTAACAGTGTCTCTCCAGTTATCTGAGCACAGACTTTTTTGCTCCTTTTGTGTGTCAGGATACCTCATTTTCTTTGATATCTTCAACAGAGAAACAGAATTCTGATTGTATTCAGAACAGTAACTGCTGTTGGGAGAAGAAGAAGGAACAGTGGAAACTCAGCCTTCACAGGAAGAAAGTTTTAGTATAAAGAAGGTGTAACACCACTAACAGAGGCTGTATACACCCATCCCTAACTAAAATTAAATCTTAATATGAAATTATGGAAAACCACCAATCTTCAAAAAGATGAATGACTATACACAGTATCTTTTCCCAAGAAAGATTTTTGCTGTGATAGACAGGACTAGAATTAGCTAGCTCGGCTACTTCCCCCAATCAAAAAAGGAGATGGGGAGTTGGAAGGGATACCATTTGAACTGAGCTGTGGGTTTTGGAGGACGATTACAGGATGGTTCTATCGTTCTCAATGCTAAGGGTCCTGCTTTTTTTTTTTTTCATGGGTTTGTGATTCTGAAGGGATTTTAATCTCATGAAAGAGACAAAGAAGGTGTGCATACCTGTGAATTGTCAGGTAACAAAAGTAGAAAGTGAAGAATTTAATGCTGATTAATTTTTGTGAGCTCAGTTCCCTCTTGTTGCTGCCCTCACTATCTCAGATACAGTCCACTTAATTCCTTCCTCTCTTCTTCTCCCTCCCACCTTCTCTCCCCGTCTCACCCGTATGTCCAGCCTCTTCTTCACTTTCCGATCTATTAAACACTCTTTATGACAATCCCTTCCAACACCTTTCCTGTTGATTAAGACTTAACTAACTGGTATTAGTTAAAACTGCTGTTTTGAACAATAACCTTCTACTTGTGTTTTCTGCTATTGTGAGCTTGCCTACTATTGCTGGAATCAGACCATACCGTAAGAGTTAGAGAAGCATGATATGTTTAAATATAACTTTCCTAAAATGAAAAAAAAAAAATTGTAAAAGGATATCCAGTTCCCAAGATTTTGAGTAGTCTCATCTTTAGAATTTAGGTGCTTTTTGTAGTTAGGGGAAAAAAAATCTTTGACTTACCTGTTCTTATGATTTTTTTCAGAGCACAGCGCTTAACTCTTTAGCTTTTAAAAACTGATCTTTGGAATGGCAAAAACAAAAAAGGCCTTTCATATTGCATATATCCAGCACCAAATAAAGCTGCATTTCTTTGTACTATGTTAATTTATATTTCCACATCTGAAAGGTATTAAAAGGATGATCATTTGATCTGCAGTTCAGAAAACATTAACTGAGTCCAGTTTACTCATGGGTAGATGCAGCATAATTTCTATATCCAAAATTCTCTCTGAAGGTGCTGCAGCAGCTAATATTCAGAATGGATCTGATAACAAATTTAAGCATTTAGAGCACAGCACTGACCCAGTAGGGCTTTTCCTTAGGAACTGAATGTACGAGAGAATTTGGTAAGATGTGATAGGTGAAATTACTTTCTTTAAAGAAATATCAGCCTAGTTAATATAGTTTCCCTTTTTAAAGGAAGAACAACTAGAATGTGTGTGTGTGCATGCGCACATCCATGTGTGCCTATGCACCCATTTGCATGCAAATTGGCAATAAAATTTTAATTTATGACAATGAATTGTCATTGTATTGAGTGGGCACTGAAAATATATTTATCAGACAGATAGCTTATTACAGAGGCAAAAGAGTTTAGATTAAAAAGAAATAAGCTTTTTAATGTTAAAAATCATTCCTCATAACAATGGAACTGAAAGAGTTTTTAACTTCCCAGCCTAGGTCTGAAATATTTTCTGATAAAGATGTGTGCTCTAACTGTTGCATTTTTCTTTTCTTTCTCTTCAACAGTATTATCTGTGGCCTTACTCAGTTTACGAATAAAAATCACATTGCCTTTGCTGCACTAGAAGCTGTCTGCTTTCAAACACGAGAGGTAAAAGCAAATTAGATCTTAATAAATCCATTGTAAATGAGTATGATACCAGGAACTGTAACTCTTCAGGAATGGAGGATTGAAAAGACTTAATGAAGATTAATGATACACTTTATATTCTGCCTGGATACTATTCTTGTCTTTATATGGTGCTAATGTTGAAGAATTGTTCCTGTAGACTTTGCTACAATGATCTGGCTGGCTGTTACTTTATTTACTTTGGGCAATGTTGCTTTTTATCACCCTTGAAAATAAGGTGAGCATGTTTAGTGAATATCATGAGAGCAAAATATTCCAATGCCAATGCCATAACTAAAAAGTTGCATTTGTTCTACAACATGGAAAACTACCGTTTATACTCTCTGCTGTGACAGAAATGGCTTGTGTTGGTACCCAAGAACAAAAATGGGTTTCTTATTGCCTTTGCCAGCATTCTGCAAAAGCAAACCAAAGTTCTCAGTGAAGAAATGAATCCCTCCAACAAATCAAAAGGGAGCTCTATGTTCTGAGCATTAAGAAATGTTTGTATCATCACCTCCTATTAATTTATGCTCCTTCTTGTGTTCTGTACAAGTAGAGGAAAAAAAATGGCACTCCTACACCCAAAAGTGTAACAGTCAAACCTTGATTTGATTGCATGTTTTTAAACTGATGTTATTATTAACATGGAGGTTTAAAACAATACCCAGCTAAATCTATGTGAGAGGAGGAAAGCAGCTTAGTAATTCTGTGATGATAAAGAGTACTTCCATGGAACGGACAGCCAGAAACTTCACCCAGGCATCTACTTTTGAAGCTGTGCTAGGGAGCTCTGAGTCCTCAGAAAGCCACGAAGAAGCTTGCAAGTAGCCTATATCTTTGATACCAGAAGGTAGGGTGAAGTTACAGGGGACTGACCTGATAGCCCAGTTTGGGGTCTGTTCCTCTCTTTCCTTGTTCCGCCTCCTATGCATTCCCTATCATGTGACAGCCCAATGAACTTTCCAGCAGAAAATTATCCCTCTGTTCTCTGGGCTATTTTTCTGCTGGAATAATGACCTCAGCTGGCTCACAGAGTAGTGTAGCGTATGTCAGAAAAAGAGGCAGGTCGCATGGGTTGGGAGTAGGAGGGAGGGAAAAAAAGCTTTCAAAGTAAGGGTGAAGTCAACTGTTTGAATCAGTCTAATACTTTCTCATACTTTAGTCAATGTGCTTTTTCTCATAATGGTAGGAGTGCCTGAACAGGTGTGCTAGACACATCTAAATTAGTAAATTAACTTCTAGTGACACAGATAAAACATATGTACATTTTTCAAAGGTATATTGTTAGTTTTATCTTTTCAGAAGCAATTTCGTGTGTTACAGATCTATTAAAAAGCACATACGTATCAGTGAATTAAATACTCCGCTCTTAGTTATCCCTTGCAAACAGTTTAACATTTTTCACGTATTTTCAGCTATCCACCATGCTCAAAAAAAGGAATCGGAATTTTACTAACAATTACACTCACAGCGTATTCTTACAGTCTAATAAAATATAAAATTCTTAGTTTTCACTGAAAATCAAAAATATCTGAAGAGAA